TTTCTTTGTCTTTGATATGGTAGACCAAGCTTCTAGTTCTTAGGTATCCCCCTCATCCTCCCTATTCTGGCCTTCAGGAATTCTGCTTTAGTAAGTTGTTGCCTAACAAAAGTATGCATTCAGAAATGTGTCATGTTTCTGACTTGGAGAAAGAACTGCACTTCATATAGCACTGTTTTCCTTTTTTTCAAACTATGAAAGTTTATTTAGAAGATCACAGAGGTAGAAGAAGTGAGCTGTCGAAGAAATGGGGTCAGGGCCCTGGCTTATGTGGCTCAACAAAAGGTCGCTGTACTGTATTGTATTGAGCCTGCAAACCAAAAGGTCGCTGGTTCGATTCTTGGTCAGGGCACATAAGTGAGTTGCAGGCCAGGTCCCCAGTTGGGGATGTGTGAGAGGCAACTGATCAGTGTTTCTCTTGCACATTGATGTTTCTCTTCCTTTTTTTCTCCATCCCTTCCCCTCTCTCTGAAAATAAATAAATAAAATCTTTTAAAAATGGGCTCAGGAAACAGGTTACAGAGGCAAAAAAAGTTTAGCACCATTTTCTTAGACTGCCCTGTCCCCTCCTGTACGCCCCCACCCCCAGGCCCCCACGCTTGACAACCACCCTTCCAAACTGTGGTGGCACTAGGGCTTTGTGTGGTCTCTGAGGGTAGTCATACTGCCTTTGGAACCTGTCCTTTTTTTTTTTTTTTTTTTTTAATCCTCACCCAAGGATATGTTTATTGATTTTTAGGGGAAGAGAGGGAGGGAGGGAGGAAAAGAAGGAGGGGGTGGAGGAGAGAGAAACAGGCAGACATTGGTTGCCACCCATACACGTCCCAGCTGGAGACTGAACCCACAGTCTAGGTATTACCATGACCGGGGATCAAACCTACAACCTTTTGGATTACAGAATGATGCTCCAACCAACTGAGCCACCTGGGCAGGGCCAGTTTTTTTTTTAATTTTGTTTTTTATTGTAGAGAGAGAAACACTGATTTGTTGTTTCACTTATTTATACATTCATTGGTTGATTCTTGCATGTGCCCTGACAGGATCTAAGTGAAACCGTGGAGTATTGGGACAAAACTCTAACCAACTGAGCTCTCCAGCCAGGGCCAGGGGCTTCTCTGTTTTTGACTCCAGGAGTCCCCTTGTGCTTTGAATATTCAGGAAGAAGACCCTTGGGGAACAAAGTTAATTTTAATAAGGTCTTCCTGGAGGTATTTGCACTACAAGGCCACTTTGAGCAGGTTAATTAGCCCAGTTGACTGCTTACAACTTTTTTTTTTATCCACTTAAAAATCAGAATCATTTTGGTCAAGGCATAGCCTCCCTTTCACTCCCTGACATTTGGGCTTCTCTGCCAGGAACCTAAAAAGATCTTGAATTCCAGAACATAGAATGGTTTGCCTGACCGTTTGCCTGTAGAGTGAAATCAAGAGAGTATGTATGTACGTTAGAGATGGCTCTAATGTTGTCCAAAGGTCCAGTTTGCACATAATTCTCCCGCCAAGAAATATCTTACCTGACAGGCACCCCTGCTGTTTCTCCCTTTGAACTGTGAAAGAAGAAAGGCCCGTGGGCGGCCTGGCAGGTGTGCCCTGCTGTGGGGGACCCGCCTTCCGTCCTACCTGTTACTTAAAGCTCTGCGGGGTGCAATTCCAGATGACACTTTGCATTTATTTATTTATTTAAAAAATTTTATTGTTCAATTACAGTTTTACAATTACAATTTTATTGTCCCCATTCCCCGCCCCGCCCATTACTCTTCCCCTACCGTACAGCACTTTGAATTTTTAAAAATAAAGGCAATATAACACTGAGAGAAAAGAGAGGGGTTGAAACCTAGCTTTTGGTATCGGGTAGAATGGTGGGCTTAAAGATGTATCCTGGAGAGCCATCTCCTACAAAACACCTGGGAAAAGCTGGATAAAATGTAACAGACTTTTTTTTCTTGACAGCTTTTTATTTAGATTTGAAATCATTTGGTAAAATGTGCTAATCCTAAATAGACAGCTGTCAGTTTACATGTATATACACTTACGTGTTAATCACCCACGTGAAAGTCCAGGACACTTCCAGCACTCCAGAAGGTCCCTCATGTCCTTTGTGTGTGTCTGTAACATCAGTAAAATGACGGATTCAGATGGGATAGCTGTTAGGGATATTAGCTGGGATGTCATCAACCAGTTTCTTAAAAGAAATTGGCCCCTTTGTCCCCCTCTGGAGGGGAACCTCACGTGAGTGGCTATTTAGATTTTTGACATGAGCAAACACTTCCCCTCAAATATTTTTCTTAAGTGGGGGGGTTATGTTATTCTGGGTCCAGTTAGCAGAGTAGCGCTTAGTATGACATGAGTGTTTTGACAGATAGCATAAATAAGTATGTAAAATGGGGAAGACGTGCTGCACTTGTTATAATTGACCATAACATAGCAAGGGGCTAGCGGCACAGAGACATGGATTTTAGTAATGTGCTGTGTGCACATGCATGTGGGTGTGAAGGGGAAGGGTGAGGAGTCCAGGGTAGCTGACAGGACAGGCACAAGGAAAATTCACTAAGGAGTAGTTACGGAGCTGATGCTGTGCCTAGCTTCATGCAACACTAAGAGTTTTTAAAAAAGGGAGACATGTGAGACAAAGTCTGAGAACTAGAGTTGGGGATAAAGGAAGAAATTTTTCAGACTGATTTTACTAGCAAGGAAATTTTCACTTGATGTCCTGGTCTTCCTCTCCCTGAAGACTATATAAAAATCTTTACTTGGCATAGTTGGCCTGCTCAGATGTCAGGGACTTTGAATTGGGTTGAATTGGAAGATTGCGGGGGATCAGCAGAACCCTGGTGCTGGCAGTCCTGTAGGAACGGAGCTGTTTGCAAGGATGAGCGTGCGGTATCATTCCTCCCTTCCCTCCCTGTCCACCCTCAGCCTTAATCCTCACTGTACCGGCAGGCTGAGCTCCTTCTCACCTTTTTATCTCATCCTTTGTCTCTAATACTCCCTGGTGTCTGTTTCCTTTTCTCAGCTTCCTGTGACACCCCCCCCCCCCCCCCACCACCACTGTAGGCCTCTGTGTTTTTCAGATAGTTCTTTAGGAAATTACTGACAGGCCAGTAGGGAAGCTGTTTCCTCTGCGAGTGAGATCAGGCTGGCTCCGGAGAAGGCCCTCAGCCTAGATCTGAGCTGGCTTTGGTCAGTGCTTGGCTCACAGACATCCTTAGGGAACCCAGAGGGCCCTGGCTGCGTAATTTGAAGGCTCCTGGTGGAGCAAAAAAGGGTATAAATTGGCTTTGGAGTCAGGTGCTCCTGGGCTCAAATCCCAGCCCTGCCACTGGCTGTGTGACCTCAGATATATCATGAAATTTTCCTGAATTTCAGTTTTCTCACCTGTAAAATGAAAAACAATTCCTCTCTTACAGGGTTATTATAATGACTAGAAAATAATTTATATAAAATACCTTCTACAGACTTGATGAAAGTTCAATAAATACTAGTTATTAACTTAAAACCAAATGAACAGGCTTAGAAAACCACTTGTATGCTCAGTACTCAGATGTTGATAATTAAAAGATAATTATAAGCTCTTGAGTCCAGTGACATAAGGGGCCTTATCTCCAAATATTAAACAAAATATTGTTCAATATTTTTAAATACTTTATATTTATCCTAGCCTGAGGGCATGCCCTTTGATTTCTTTATTATTTTTTAGTTTTTAGAGAGAGAGGGAAGGAGATGAGCCCCGGCTAGGGACTGAACTTGGAACCTTTTAGTCTGTGAGGTGAGGCTTCAACCAGAGGACCCACACCAGCCAGGGCAGTATTGTTTAATATTTTGCCACAGGGTAAATTCATTTATCAGGCTGACCTTACCATTTTAAAAATTTTTTAATTTTTCATCTTGTTTATTTTTTTTATTTTTTTCTTTTGACCTTGTCTTAGTTTCATAGCACAATGGAAGTATATCCTAGATTGTCAAATCATTGTGTGTGTGTGTGTGTATTTTTAGATTTTATTTATTTTATAGAGAGAGGGGGAAGGGAGGGAGAAAGAGAGAAAGAGAAACAGCAATGTGCGAGAGATACCTGGATTGATTGCCTCTCGCATGCCCCGAACCAGGAACCTGGCCCACAGCCCAGGCATGTGCCCTGTGAATTGAACAAGTGACTTGGTTTGCAGGCCGGCATCCAGTCCACTGAGCCACACCAGCCAGGGCTCAAATCTTTATATTTGATGTTGCAACAGGAAGCTTTTTGTAGTAGCAGAAACATAATGTCCCCTTATTAATAAACAGGTACCAAGTGGCATTGAGGGAGCAACAAAGTCTGTCAGTGCATGGTGGGGTGGGGTTAGAGGGTTTGGCAGGTAGTAGCCTGCAAAGTAGAGGTTGCTGAAGAAGTCGGGGGCTTTGCAGGGAGGCAGTGGTATTTGGAATTTTGGCCTATACCTGCCCAAATGGGGAAAGCCTTGCCTTGGTAGGGAGGTGATGGGAACACTTCATTTTCTGGGACCAAGTGAAGTATGCTTCCTGTGATTGCCTTCTGCTCTAGAAGGAGTAGCAGGCCAGGATGTGTGTATGAGAGTGGGCTGGGAGAGTGTGCTCCTGCTTTATGCGGAGAGTGGAGGGGGCAGCACACAGACTTCTTTCCCTGGCCAGGGCCTGTGGGGCAGGCCGGAAACTAAAAGTAGCAGGTACGGAGAGAAGGAAAAGTAGCTTACTCTAGTTGGGCTTGCTCATCAAAAGATACTTGAGACTTCCCAGAAGTATCACTTTTTAGGATCCTTTCTACTTTCTGCCTTCTCTGTTTTTCTGCACTGCTAAAATCACTTCTTTCTGCCTGCATTAACCACAAATAATCATTCTGGTGGTTGGGGCTTGGGAGGCAGCAAATAGCCATTTCTGTAATGTCAGCCCTTGAGCAATCATATGGGCAGGGTATGCCTAATCAGGAAATGGAGTTTTTCCGCTTTCATTCATAACTGGAAATAAAGTGCTCTCCTTATTCTCCTCCTGCAGGTCGGTGAGCTGGTAAAGGTTACGAAGATTAATGTCAGTGGTCAGTGGGAAGGGGAGTGTAATGGCAAACGAGGTCACTTCCCATTCACACATGTCCGTCTGCTGGATCAACAGAATCCTGATGAGGACTTCAGCTGAGTATAGCTCAACAACCAATTTTGCTGACAGATGGGAACAATCTTTTTTTTTTTTTTCCTCTTCAATTGCCATCTATACAATTTTCTTACAGATGTCAAAACAGTCTAGTTTATATAAGCGTTCTGTTACCTGTGATTATTTTTAGACTGAACTACTATATCCCTAGTCCCATTTACCACATTCAGGGTACAAAACTGGAGGGCTTGTGTGTTAACTTCTGAATTGGAAATTCTAGGTGGTCGCCGCCATGCCCGAGGGTGTTAGAGGGATAGGGTTCTTGCCTCCTTTCTCTCAGGCAGTGCACATCAACCTGTGGAAACTGATGGACAGAAGAGAAGCGTTGCACACGGCTTACCCTGATTTATCCAGTGGCATTGTTTTCATTCTGAAACCGTCCTATCAAATGGCAATAGACTGTTCCCTTTCACCCCCGTAAAATAATCATGTACCATGTGAATAGTACCCAGTGGGATTGCTTTTTCATTTATAGAACACGACCGTTGTATGACTCATTCTGACAGTTCAAATCCTGAGATTTCTGAGGACACTACTAGAGGCATTTGTCTTCCTTCCTAGTCAATGCTTCATACTTTTTCTTGGGATTCTTTGAACCCTGTCATCCTTTTCCAGATAGGTTAATTCTAAAAAAAAAGTGTTTATTTTCATTCCAGATGACAAGCAGGATGTGCAGAGCACTTTATTCAGTGCATAGCTTTAAGCCAGTATTGGATTCACTGAGTGGACAGCCAAACTCTCAGCTCTCTGCCTTCCCTCGAGGGGCCATAGCAGGTTCACAGTGCTGCCGCAGCTCAGTGGGCTCCTGACTAACGGGATCCAGCAGGGACATTTCTCCTGAGTGCCAGTGTCCTGCTAGGGGATTCTTTGAAATTCTTAGCTTCTACTTGGAGTGGAAGGACCAATCACTTGGAATATTCCATAGAAGGTTTTGGGGCCAAATTCTGCCCTCTGCTTTATGTGCAACTTGTATAAAAGTCAAGTTAAAATTACATGAGTTTGGGAATAGAGGTAGCACTTTGAAAAATGTTTGAATCAATCAAGAATTAACTTAGGTATTATTCTTCACGTTGCCAGAATAGTGCTTGAAGTACATTACTTTATAAACTGCCTTCATTTTTGGCTCTTTTTCTCTATGTTCAAGTTTAGTTTACAAATCCTTTTTAGTATGGAATGGTTTTTATAGGGTCAGGTGCTCCAAAGAATATAGACTTCTGAGACCAAAAATGATCTAGGCTGTATAGACTACAACATGAAATTTTCAAGGCTGGTTTCTAGCCTAGAAAAGCACTAACTGGTCTGTGGTATGGTATGACCAATAGAAACACCTTATATTTTGTTGAGGGCCTATTTTAGAAAAGAAACATACCTTTTTAATTGTTTTGCATAGGTAATGGTTAATTTGCCTTCTTCCATGTACACCAAATTATGGCCTCCCGGTGACCAGCACAATGCCTGGCACAGTTGGTGCGCAGATGTGTGTCTTAGTGAATGAGGGGTGGGCAGGAGCTCATTATGTGGCACAGGGAAGCCACCTGGCACAGGAGTACATACGTTACCACAAGGAAACTAATGAATTGACGCTAATTTAATATATTTTTACCTCACACTAAGGTAATGCTTGATAAAGAGATTGACTCGACTTTTTAAATGTTAGCCCAGTGCTATGCACATAGTGGGTGCTCAATGTTGAATGAACAAATTTGCAATACTAGGTTTAATTTCCACCTGACTACTTTGTTAAATTTTCAGTTAGAGGATAGATACTGTAAAGTCCAAATACACATTAAATCTTGTTTTCCTGAAAGTATGACATCTAAAATATTTGTAGAAAAACCTTGTCACAACTGATTTGAGTATTTGTATTTTCTTTTGCCTTTGACATTACGATATTGGCTTATAATGTCTCTTTTCATATTATGTAATATTAGTGGAACATGCAACTCTACCCAAATCGTAAGAATTTCTCAATGATGGGTTGTCTGAGGCCATTAATATGAACTGTCAGGTTGGATTTGGCTGGATGTGGACCTTAAGAAATCAAAGGACTTAAAAGTATCTTCCAAAAATAAATGCTAGAATCTTATTCAAGTGCATATATACATTGTCACAGAGCAAAGTAAACTGAAATTGGCTGCTATATTTTATATAATCATTTCTGCAAAAGCCCAATTTTTGGATACTAATATTTGACGTGGTTAATTCTTATTAATTTGTTGGAATTGTTTATTGTTAATAATGCAAATAGATAATTTTTAATTATCCTTAAGTAACATTTCACTATTAATGGTTTGAAATGGGTGATAAGCAAACAAATTTGAAATAAAATATCAACATGTGCCATTGTATTATAACACTATACACTTTCTTGACAGTTAAATTTTGAAAAATGTTTTTTTGTAGCATGTATTGTATATGTTTATAGTATATGTAGTAAATAAAAATATGGCCAAATGTTTGGCTTGGTGATCTTTTGAAGAAAGTAATCTTTGAATATTTTTCACAAAAGAGCTAAATCTGTTATGCTAAGGGAATAATGGTTGTGTGCACTGAGACTACAAACAATATAATGAGAAACAGTTATACACACTCTGTGGATACTCATTATAGCTGGGATTAATCATTGGTGATGTTTTAAAGGGTCTCCAGAAGTCAGGAAATACTGACATGAAGGGAATGTTAGAATGACTGTCTAATTGGAAATCAAGAATGACATGGACGGAGAGCATCAGATTCACCCAGCAATGGTTGTGTGTGGGCGTAAAGAAAATAAGGATGTGGTAGGGGACTTGGTAAAACAAATGAGAAGTTTGGATGTTGTACAATAGGTTTTTAGAATATTAGCATAATAGATACTCTTTTTTATTTAGCACATTTTCATGATAATTATATACACATACACAGTATGTGAATATATATACCTAAAATTGACATAATGCTCTATAGTTTTGTGTAGTATGGGTGCTGAAGTTTTAAAATGAAAAGGACAGTCTTTGCCAGTTCCTTTGCCGGTGTTCTGGCTTGGACCCAAAACATACCTACTTACTGCTATAGAAAGCAGAGTGTCAACCCAGAGTTACATAAAGGAGCCTCCTGCAAGGGGAGTCAATTTTGGCATACCCAAGCTTAACTGCAAGGTGATACAAGACTTTTGACTTGTCAAAAAAAAAAAAAAAAATGCCAAAATACTGTTTTAAAATAACATGTTGAGTGTTGGGTTCCTTTACACAGCCTGGAGTGCTCATACCAGTTTTTATTTTTGTGACCCTTATCTTCAGATTGAGTTGTATTCATCTTACAGATATGAAGAGAAAAGAGGCCCCTCCATAAAAGAAAATGTGAAAATAGTTCTCACTTTGGCAGGAGGAGGATAAGAGTTTGGAGCTCTGCTACCACAGATATCCTGAAGAACAAGAAATGGGGAAATAAGGTGGGAGGCAAAAAAACGAACTAGTCACCAAACTCTGGCTGGTGTGGCTCAGTGGACTGAGTGCTGGCCTTCAAACCGAAATGTTGCTGGTTCGGTTCCCAGTCAAGGCACATTCCTGAGCTGCGGGCCGGGTCCCCAGATGGGGGCGTGTGAGAGGCAGCCAATGGATGTGATCTCTCACACATTGATGTTTCTCTTCCTCCCTACCTTCTCCTCTTTCTCATAATAAATAAAATCTTTAAAAAAAAAAACAAAACCCAAAAACTAGTCATCAAGAAATGAGGTTCATGGCCTGGCTGGGTGGCTCATCTGGTTTGAGTGTCATCCCGTACACCAAAAGGTTGCAGGTTCAATTTGCAGTCAGGGCACTTCCGGGAAGCAACTGATTGAGGTTTCTCTCTCCTCTCTCCATCCTCCCACTCCCTTTCTCTCTCTCTATAAAAATCAATAAATATCCTTGGGTGAGGATTTTTTTTTAAGTGAAAAGATGTACATTGAAAGCAGTATTTGAGGGTCTTCACAGGAGTGTCCAACCTGTGGGCCACATGCAGTCTGGGATGGCTATGAATGCAGCCCAACACAAAAGTGTAACTACTTAAAAAGGGTTTTTTTTTTCGTGATTATGTGTTACCGTGTATTTAATGTGTGGCCCAAGACAACTCTTCCTCCATTGTGGTGCAGAGATGCCAAGACGGTGGACACCTAGGGATACAGAATGAGAACAAGCAGGAGTAAGCGAGATGTCAGGCTGGCTTTCCGTCCAGGGGTTGCCTCCAGTGTTTCTGTGGTTGGCCTGCTTTGTCTAGATTTTAGATCTGGGTTGAATCCTAGCCAAGTGGGCACTCTGGTATAGACTATGTTTAAAGGTGACCTGGTTTGGTTGGACCTTTTCTGTCTTCTCACTTGAAATGTGGGAAGTTACGGACGTAGCTTTTCGGGAGTGAGAAGGAGTGATTAGACATACGGAGGTTCACTGGTTCAAAGCCTCCGTTTCCTTTAGAACTTCATGGAGTTTCTAGCCTCGTTTCAAGCTGGTGGGGTACTTGAGCTGCTCCACATTTCTGAGTACCAGCAAGGAAACTAGGAAAGTGGAGCATTGAGGTGAGGTTATAGGAAAAGGGTTCATCCTTTTTCCTTTATTTTGGGAAAGTCTATTAGTGAAAATGAATTTGATACTATATTAGAGTATAACAACACTGTTAGATATATGTGGACTTACCCTAGCGTTTTGTGTAATGCAGGATTAAGCTTCCTATGGTTGCTCTGCCATTTGTGCAGGTTTCTATGCTGACTCAGTGCTACCCTGCTCTCCTAGGCTTCCAGTCTGACTTTGGGTTCCCATGAGCTCTCTATAGCTGGAGACTCTTTAATGATGGTTTGACTGTCTTGGCTGGTGTTGCCACAGTGTCCAAAGATTGCCAACAATAGGTGACCACAGTCTTAATCTCATTCATTATCATTTTGTGTTTACTCTTTCTTTTGAGAGAACACCATATGAACTCAGGGATACCTACTGCTATGGAAAAAGCTACTCTTTCATGCATTATCACCAAGCGGGGTTTGACTATTATTTTGTTGGCTATGTGGGTGCTTCAATGGCTAGAATTTTTTGATCAGATTACAGTAGTTCTAAGTGTGGTAGCTCCTGTGGAATAGATTCTGTCCTTGTGAATCTTACATTCTACAAATAACCACACCCATAACTCCCATAGGTGTCCCTGGTGGCTTTCTAAAAGTGTTTTGGTCAAGGTCACCAGACACACAGCTTTGTGAGTGGATCACACCTTTTTGTGAGTAACCAGTAGAAAAAGGCCCCCCCCGCTTCCCCTGTGCCAGGTTCACAGCTTGAAATGTGCAGAGGACAATGTGGATAAGATCACAGGCCCTCTTGCCACCTCAACTGAGCGTCCCTGATTGGTGCACAACTACCTGGCACTCAGTCAACATTAGCTTTGATTGTTCTGCTTAATGTTAAAGTCGGCAGCCCATGTATAGACATCTCTCTTCCTGCACAGCCTGTTCATCGCCAAGTCCTGTCAGCTCCACCCCCGGAGTACTCCCTGGTGCGTGTTTGTAGGCCTCCGCCGCCAGCACCCAGGTAGCTGTCATCCTTCCTGCGGACCGCCGCGACAGCCTCCCTAGTTATTCCCTTTCCCCAATCTGTTCTCCCCACGAGGTAAACTCGATCATGATCCCTTGCTTAAGAAGCTTTCTGGTGGTCTCCTTGATCACAGTCTTCGTTGCATAGGATGGCCTACCTGCGGTGACCACCTTGCCTTTGGCCTCACCCGCGTCTCTGCCTCCGGCAGGCTTTCCTTTCAACTCATCGTTCTAGGAACTTGCCTCCCTCTCCCACCTCCCTCCCACAACTGTTACCAGTTTAAATGTCCGTTCCTCAGAGATGCCTTCCTTGAACCCCCAAATCCCATTTATAATCATCACATCATTTGCCTAGACAGCTCTCCTCACGGATTGTAATTACACATTTCTGTGATGATTTCATTCCATCTCCTCAGGCTACAAATCAGCTCTAGCAGGATAGGAACTGCGTCTCATTTGCTCATCACGCCTCCAGAGCCCAGCACAGGACCTGTCTCACAGCAGGCAACACCTACTTGTTAAACCGATGTTCTCCTCAGCAGGGTTGAGTCCTGGGGAGTAGGGATCTAGCTGGTTACCTCTCCGCTGCTCCCTTACCCCTGGCCCTGAATCCCTGGTTCTGTGTATGTTCATAGGGTGTGGGTTCATTTTTAATATTGGTCAGAGTAAAAGCCATTTAGGAAGGTCGTTCCATTGCAGAAATACGGAATGCTTTTCAAAGCCCAGACTCAAGGGTTTGGGTGCTTCCCTGTGACGATGTCCTTTTTCCTTTCCACAGAAGGGGAGGTGACTGGACCACTTAAGGGTGGAGCTCTATTCAGACAATGAAGCTTATTTACTTGTATCTTATGTTTAATTTCTAGCTTTAACCATACTTTAACCAAAAAGTCTGAATCCTGTTACCTAAAATCTCAGTTACAATGAAAGTAGCTTAATATATCCTAAACCCTATTCAAAGTAATTATTCACCCTGTCATTATTTAGTTCTTTTAGAATATAGACCCCAGAGGCAGCAACTGAAGAAGGCAACTAACAGGAGCAGGGTCCTTATGAATTCTCTCTGTGCATTATAGTGAAGGGGCATGACTCCGGGCAACTAGCAAGGTAGGCTGGAAGTTGAGAGAACTGGCCTGAGTCTTGGGCCCAAATCCTTTTCCGAGTCTTGTGATATACTATATTTTGCCGTTCAAAATGTGCACTTTTTTGCCCAAATTTTTGAGAGAGAAGGATGCGCATTACTCATGGGTACAGCAATTACATAATCCCATGTATAATGCCCAAAAATGTGGGTGCGCATTATACACAGGAGCACATTGTGCATGCAAAATGGGTGACAAGATAAAGGAGAAAGCCAGACCCTATTCCCAAAAAAGAATGTAAGAAGAGGAAGTGGTTTGTTTAAATTTTTTGGCCGCATCTTTTCTCCCACTAGAATCAAGTTCTTCCTCTACTTTCACTTTTTTTTTTTAAATACTGCCCCAGTTTCTCATTTCCCTTGTTAGCCATGCCTGTGGGATTAGGTTTATGTCTGGACCAACTAGTTGCTGCTTGTTCCCTAAGCTCTGCCATATGATCAAGGGCAGTATTTTTTTGTTGTCATGGCAACCGACGTTTACATAAGCAAAAACTCTGGGGAAACATTTGTTTTGGAATGATCTGTGGTAAATTTCATCGTAATGGAAAGATACAGGACCAACTCAATGGGCTAGCAGCTAGAATTTGAAAAAACAGAATGGACTTCTGTGCCTTTGAATGAGATCTATTTGATAGGTAACACCTTTGGCTATCAAACTACAATACCTAGAAAAAATAAGAATGAGTGTGATGATCTTTAATTCTGTTCTTAATCACATTTTCTCTAGCAATTAGGTTGTGGTGTGTGTGTGTGCACGCCTGTGCCTGTTCTAAAACAAAGGTTATTGGTCCAGAATCTTTTCACCCGTATGGGACCA